CCCACTCCATTCTATGTACTCAACTAATGGTAGACGTAAAGGCAATTTAAAGGTAAGGTCTTATGTGAATATAAGTAAAAATCATTCAAGGGACACTAATAAGGAAGAAGGAATTAATGTCTGAAGTATGAATATTGATTTGATACTTGAGGCTAGGAATAAAGAAGAAAAAAGTCACTCATAATGTTGAAGAAAGAAATCAGGGAAGTTCTGATTCTGGTAGGGAAGGTAAAGCTATTGATTGATATATGACAAGTATTCCTTATACAGCTAATGAGTCTGGAAATGTGAGGCTAGTGCAAAATATGTTGTTGAGCAATGTTAGTCATTGTAGGGAAGTCATGAAAAACTATATGATTTAAGAAGGAATTGAGGGGCTAAAAATAACAATTCTAAGTATACAACATACTGTAAGGGGAATGGATGTAATTGAAGCATTCATGCATCAAATATTTTGGATAAGAAGACAAAAAACTAAAAGATGAACACACTTGGATAGAGGTGAGCAATAACCATGTTGTTGTAACAAATGTTCCAATAGCTAGAAGTTAGGTTTTCAATTGCATTCTAAACCCAATATGTCTTACGACTTGATGCAGCATGAATTAACTAAGAAGTATGGTGTGATAATGAATCATAAAAAGCTTTATAAGGTTAAGAAAAGAGTCAAAGAAGAATCTCAAGGAATTTATGCTAGGTTATGCAAACTCTTGTATTTTAAATGCTCAAATGGTGATGGATACTAATCCTAGTAGCATTGTCATCATGTGCTTAGAAAGGTCTGAAATTAGTGTCACCCCTACACCTAAAAGTTTTTTTTTTTTGTTTATTGAAGCCATAAAGAAATTGTTCACTAATGGAAGTAGGTCTTTTATTGATGTTGATGGATGCCACCTAAAAGGATCTTATGGAAGAACTCTATTACCAGATATAACCATTGATGGGAATTATGGACTTTTTTCCTATTGTTATTGCTATTGTAGAACTAGAAAATAGTGATGCACGGACATAATTTTTGCAAATATTGAATATTGTCATTGAGGACTTTAACAAACCCTTGACATTGATGAGTGATGGTCAAAGGGTAAACTAATTCCATATACTATTTTTCACTAATTATTTTAGTTATTTGAATAATTAATTTTTTCAATTTTGTTATATGGTCAGGGAGATGAAATCATCATAAAAGTCATGGCACATGCAAGTTAAAAAAGGTGTGGTAAGCATTTGTACAATAATTTCAAGTAAAAGTTTGTGGGTTTGGATTTGAAGATAAACTTCTAGAAAGTTATTAAAGCTTCTAATCAATGGGAATGGAATGAAGCAATAATGAAGATTAAGGCTTAAAATGGTGATGTTGTAAGTGGTTGATGGAAAAACCACACACATTAAGGGTTAAGCACACATTTGATCCTAATGTGAAGAGTGATTATGTCATCAGCAACATGATTGAGAGCTTTAATCAGTGGATTAATAGTGTTAAAAGCAAGATAGTCCACTATTAAAGGTATTACAATCAAGTTGATCAAAAGGTTTTATGACAAAAATGAGAAGGCTTGTACAAGGGACATGATAATCACTCCAGCAATCTGCAAGAATCTAGATTGAGTTAAGTTAGTGTTAGGTTTGGCAAAGTTTTGCTTGCTAGTGAAATTGAGTTTATTGTATTTGAAAGTGGAAGGACTTTTATGGTGAACTTGCAAAATGGAATTTGGACTTGTCCATGTAAGGCTTTGGCAGATTTCAGACCTACATTGTAAGTATGCAACATGCATTACTTACAAGAAGGGTGATATTCAGCTCTATTGTGATAATTATTACTCTAAAGAAAATTTCATTTTGGCATATAATGATCATTCACTTTATACCTGATATCACCATGGTTGAGTTTTGAGGTCAAGTTAATCCAGTGGAGCCTCCATTACATCATCATATGCTTGATAGACAAGAAGAATTGAAAAATGGAACTTTAGGAAGCAGCAATTAAAAACTAGAATTCTAGAAGGAAGAGCAGTATCATATGCACTTTCTGCTTTAAGCTTCACCATAATAATAGAACCTATCTTAGAGTTCTTGTGGGAAGTAATAAAAAGGTAATTTTCAAACTCAGTTTTTACATTAATTATGCATTTTACTACAAATAATACATTAATTTATTATATGCTAAGCAATAAAATCTGAATTTAAAGGAGCTTTAGACAGTGAATTTTAACTTCAAAACCTAAACTTCTTATTTCTTTGATGCAAAAAGGATAAAATTGTTCAAAAACTAATGCTATGTCATTAAATAAATAGAACTCTAAAGATGGATTAACAGTAAGACTTTTGTGTCTAGCAATATACATAACTTTGTGACAGAGCATCCATTTTCGATACTAGTAGACCAAAAATGAATTGTAATCGAACCGTAAGGGGTAGGGGTAATTCACCCTTTCATATAATTAGAGGTGGCAATTTGGATGTCTGGGTGGGGTCATTTTGAAATGAACAAAATTAGAGTCATTTTCGAATTTGGATCATTTCAATTTTAGGTCATTTTGGGTACGAATTGTTTTGATTTTGGATTATGTCAAGGTCATGTCATTCTAGTTTGACACTCTTGTTCTTCAAGTTCTGTTCATTTTAAATTCAATTGAATTTAAACAAATTATTCGAATTCAGATCATTTCGAGTTATTTTTAAAATCATTCAACCTCAAATCATTTCATATTCAGATCAAAGCAAGTTCAAATCATTTCAAATTAAATTTGGACTGATTTAATTATTGACTTTTTTATATTAAATCAAGTTGCGTCAAGTTAGGGTTCAAGCAAGTTTTCCTAGTTGCATCAGCTTTGCCACCTATAAATATAGTGAATTATTTTTAATTTGTTAAAACTATGTTTTTTTCTTAACTATAATGCTTATGATAACTTCATTCTTATTTTTGTGACATTCAACAACATTATTTATCTTCTTTTAAAATTTTTGAAAAAATAAAATAAAAATAAAAATTTTGACAACAAAAAAACAAAATTAGGAAAACAGTACAAAAGTGTAACAAACAGATCCTAAGTTTATAAAGATAAAAACTAAAAATTACAGTTGTTAACTGAGAACAGAAAAATTCAGAGTGTCAAAATGAATCAACCTTGGTAGTCTAGCAGAGGATATAACATTGCAGTATAAATCAAAATTCGTGTTACATTTCATGCAAACTCATAGTTTGAGATGATACAGAGGATTGAGTACGATTAAATCAATGAATAAAACAACATAATAGTGTTAAAAGATGAAAAGCAACTAGTTAATCAGATTACACGAGCACAGTCACCTGCTTCACAAATCAAGACAGCAGTATCTGGGTTCAATTGGCTGGCCAACACAGGCTGGAGCTTTGGATATTCTTCCCTGACAAATTTTGCAGCTTCTGCTGCACAATCAGTATCTACCAATGCAACACAGCAACCCCTAAATCCAGCACCACTGAACCGAGCTCCAAATACGCCAGGAGCCCTCAATAGGACCTCATATAGTTGAATTAGTGGCTCACAACCTTGACATTCATATATCCATCAAAGTTAATAGTTGAATAATTTTAAGTAGGCATTTTAGCAGAGTCACAAACTCAAACCTAAAAGATCAAAAATAAATAAACTGGTTTATAGTCGATAGAAAATTCAATCTGCACTTCACTCTTTCAACATTTTGTTGAGACAGTGAAGGGAAAATTGAAAGTTCCAGGTTTTAAAGCCGTAATTGACTCCTTAAAAAATTCAAGTAAAACTCTCAAGTCTGAACTAGTATAAGCTTTAAATTCAAATTTAAACTTAAATAATAGTCATAAATGCATTTGAGTTGCACAAAAAATATACTTGGTAATCAGACCATGGGAAGGGACACAGGAAACGGTTGCAGCATTTCATATATCATGGCAACCGACAAACATGAAATTTTTCATGTCCTTTAGAACCAGTATCAGAGCATGTATTAGAACTTGAATTAATTCAACCATCGGATGGTAGAAAAGCCAACTTATATTATTATATATGAAAATGAGATAAAGTTTTCCCAAGGTATGATTATTTTGCCTTCTCAAATGGACTTCAATGGCAAATATGAATATCAGTACTCTATTGTTTTTGTTTTTCTTGGCAACTTTTAGGAATATTAGGGGCAGGGTGATGCAACTAAGGAACAAAAGAGGCATGCCATACCACATTCATAGTTTTTAATAGAACTTAGACCAGAAGCCGACATTAGTTGTCCAAAATCCCTCAATTCTCCTGAAGCCCAAGCCTCTAATCCTGGAATAACCATTACACCAATGCCCTATTAGTTGATAAGCCTTATAACAACATGGATATCTACATGAGACCATTACATAGACCAGAAAAATTTATGAAAGTGTGATAACACAGTTGTACCTTTTCTAACTCTCATATTCTCTGAAAAATAATGCTCTGCTCTTCTGGCTAGATTTGGTTCCAGTTTGACCTGCAAAGGAAAGGAGATACCAATATCAGAAACAAAATTGTGAACAAACTTAGCATGTTTAGTCAACAAATGGATGCTTAGCATTATATACATCAAATATAACCTAGGATGCATAGCATTGTATACATCAAATATAACCTATCTACCACCTTTTCGGGATTAGGTAGAGATCTTACGTTTGAGACATAGTGATCTCTTCTACCAAAAAGGAAAATGGATAACCAATCTACTGATGAGGTAGAAGGTTGATTTAGACAAAGAGAATTGCTGTTTCTTTTCCTTTGTTATGTAATCTGAGTTTTCATGCACAAGGGAAAGTATGTTATTTCAGGTACTTTAAGCTAGGTTTATTATTTCTTGGGTATCAGATTATTAGGTTTATTTTGCTCATAGTCTAAGTTAAATAGTTGTCTATGTTGAAGTTTAATCCTAAAAAGGTTAAGAAGAGTATTTAGGATCTACATAAATGCTTATGTAATTTTCATATCCAGGGAGCTTTTGACAGATTATCCAGTTGAGAAATTTCTTCAAATCTTCTCTTTTAGTTCTTTATATCTATTTCTCTCTCTTTTACTCTTTTCTCTCTCACACTCTATTTTGTCCTGTCTGTGTGCTACATCATAAGTTTATATTCCAGGATGAGGTGAATAGACATCACATTGACTACAAAATGCTATGTTTATTAATAGTAATATACTCATGAATCTATGCACTCTGCACTCTCCTCTAACTATTTAATAGAGAGAAATGGAAATCTTATTTAGTGAATGGAAGTATTGAACTTAAAGTTTACTCTTCTAGTAGGATAAGCAATTAAATAGAATACATTCAAAACATAACTATTTAAAGGATAAAAAGAAATGAATCAAAAATTCTCAGCTTCAAAAATCAGAGTTTATATGTTTGATGTTTACCTTGTAAGCTTCATAAGTTTCTGGTTCAACTGTTCAAAAGAGGGGAAGAAAGAAATTTAATTCATTGTGCAAATCAAAAAGTTGAAAGGAAGTTCAAATTCACAGAGAAAATTGGGTCAAGTACTAGCCATTGCATAGGAAGGGCTCCAATTCAACATTTCCAGAAGCACTGCAAAAGCAAAAACAGAGAACAAAAGAAAAGGATGAAACAATATGAACCAGGACATGATCCTCATAAACAGTAAAATTACACATATGGTGCACAATGTTGCAGTCTATTGAAAAATGGAAATATCATGTTTATCTTGTTGAAAGATATGTGTGAAGTCAGAAACAAGACTACAAAAGATGTTGATTTCATTTAATGCTATCAGTTGTGTGCATTTTTCCCTGCAGGGTGTGGACCCAGACAACTTTCAGTTTTGCAAGAAAAGAAGGGATAGTGCCATGCTTTGAACATCTTTATGCATTCTGTTCATAGCAAGTTGGAACATTTAACAAGGATATGAAATATCTCTGAATTTTTAAACAATATATTAACTCCCCCAGCCAGCACAATCAAGGAAGCAATTCAAATGCTCTCCCTTCATAATCATTCAATCAAAATGTGAATCAATATTGAAATTAACATGAACACAACTGTCTCACAAGCTAAGAGGACAAGGTGAAGATATGTGCAACCAAAAAACCAAAATCATAGTTGAAAATTTCCAGGGTTCTCAATTAGAGGGGACAAGAATCATACTGCAGAAGAATTTTGGCGGCTTCTTGACATTCTGCAACTCGAGAATTGTATCCAGGGTTGCTAGTCAAAGCTTGCCTCAGTCCTGAAAATGCTAGTAATATTTTGTAGCCTTTCTGTGGTTCAGCCTCGTGATCCTTTAGAAAATTCGGTGGGTGTATAAGCTTGTGTTCTGTAGTCTACATTTAACAAGATACCATGTTGCTTGAACAAGTTAAATAAATTCAGCCTTTACTTTACAAAAATAATAAAATAGAATAGAAGTAAACATTAATAATTTGATCATCATTATATTGCAAAGAAAACATTAACAATCAAAGTGAGTGAGAAGTATAACAAATTCTCTAAAAGCAAATTTATTTTTAAGCAAAACATCATCTGTTTGTAGATAAGACAGAGGTTTATCAATTTATAGAGGAAGGAAATCTTGTAAAAGAGTAATAAATGAGTGTAGACAGTGGCTTAGGGAGAAACATCTAACCAAATGTAGACAGCTCAAGCAATGTGGCAGACAAGCAATTACTGAAAGGTTCAAAAACGAAATATTTTCGATGTCCTAGTATTCTTCTAACTCGCAAACATAGCCTATGATAGGGAAAAAAAGATCTTTTATTTCTTGTGCCTCTCAATTAATTAGCAAAAGCTTTAACAGGTGATGCTTTACAGTTAAAGAAAGTGCATCTTTTTGTCAATTTAATTGGGCAGTACAACTGGCAATAATGAAAAAAATGATATTGTGCATATATGTGTATACAATGATAGAATAATTCAGCAGAACTGAGAAGCAACAAAGACATAGAATTAATGATTTCGAACATATATACAAATATGAGAGTAAAATATAGCCATAGATCTGCGTGATAACTAACTTACAGCAAGTCCATCAGACTAACTGAGCAGTGCAAAAGTAACAAAGTTAAACGACGTTAAAACAAAGTAGGATCTGTTATTTCTGAATTTTTTTGGATAATATATTTCTGAAATTATTATCAATAGTGACTTACTTTGCAGTTCATGTAGGTTAAACAACCATGGCTTGAAAGCAGTATAGCTGATTGATCCAATATGCCATTTCTCAGGCCTAAATACTCATTTTCAATCACCCTACATGTGCCATAACATCAAATTCAGAAAAGGTTTCACATGTAACAATAAAGAGGCAATCATGTAACCCTAACAATGTGCATTCTCTGATCAGTGAAGTAACTTTGAGATGAAAAAGGATTGGGATAAAGTCTAAATGAAACACTTTTACTTAAGAGTGATAGACCAAATTTACCACTCATTTTTAAATTGATGCAATTTCCACACTGTACTTTTTAAATTTGGTCAAAAATGGTCCAAAGCTAATGGTAAAGGAATATTTCATAGCATATTACATGGAATATTCCTTTGCTCCCTCATGAAATATTTTTGTTACCATTAATTGCTGACCATTTTTCTATCAAATTAAAAGTCAAAATGCACCCGCTCAAACTGGAATTAAATTTGGTCCATCACCCTAAGTAGAGTGGTAAATTTGGATCTTATCGAAAAAAGGATTTAACGTTTAAAATTCAAAGAAACTTCATTGCCAGCTAAATGGAACCACTTATCATGAAAAACATTGCAAGCGATCATCCAAGTTATCTATTCTCTCCATCTAATTTTCAATATTCTCATACCTGTTTGTATATTCTAAGTCTGCTGTTGCAAAACAGATACATTTTTAATATTAATTTTTGTTATGTTATATGTCAAAACCATTTAGGGCAAAGAAGAAATATTATGGAGAAAGTCAAATAAACTTAACAGTTTTTAAAAAAAAGCTTTTGCAAGTCCAAACAAATTGGGACAAAGGGAGCACTAAATTAATAAATTCTAATAATTCCTTATGATCACGTATTAGAGGTAATTAAAACAAGAGTAAAGCTTGTTGCTTATTTATGAGATATTAGTAATTATACATCGAAATTACCCAAAGCAAATCACCCACAATATGTATTGAAGGCTGATTCCAAAAACATCCTTCACCCTAATAAATTTTACCTAATAAGGACAACGAAGACAAGAAGGCTACTGATTAATGTAAGGTAAACGTTAAGCTGTCCTCTACAGTCAATGTGGCTGCATTTAATGTAATTCCTTAATCTTTGAGCTTTTAACTTTTCAGAAAAAAAAAATCTTTGAGCTTTTCAGCAGACAATAACTTTGCAACAAAGGGAACAATATTTAATATCCAGTGCAACAGCAGGCACTATATTGATCATGATTTCCCAAGCTCCATATATCCTTTCTAGGTATATCACCAAGAAATTAGCAACCTGCTCCAGAAACACTTACGTTTTATGCCTTAAACTCCTTGACTCCAGCAAACCTACAATTCGGTTTCCCCTCTCAAGCCAGTTCCCCATTCAATACCAATGACCAACTCCAACTTAAATCAGGATCCTCCCCTCTACTTTAAAATATTTCCACACTCTCCTTTATTCAAAATGATTCTAGATTTCAGTCTAGGGATTGGGTGAGTTATTTAACCACAGGAAGAAAAAAGAAAATTAAAAATGAAGATCCCCTCTTTCAAGTTTTAAGTACCAGTCCATTTCCAAGATCATGTACATCCCTGATTACTCTATATAGCAACTTGCATTACATTTTTTTCTTTTCATAACAGAATTTTAGGTTTGAGCAGATTGAACATCTTCCCAGATTTCAAAATATCCTGACCTCTATAGAAGCATTCCTAAGCAACAGTAAAGAGAATGGAAACTAAAATAAAGTACTGGAGTGAACAGTGATCAAACCTCTTCTAGTTAAATCCAAACTGGCCCCACCTATACAGACAACCAAACCGCTGATAACAAGAAAGTACAAACCAATGATGTTCCAATTCTTCATATTCCTCAAGCACCCATGTTGGACACTTATCTGACACCTCAAAGTGGACATGAGTATGAGGTATTGACCCTCAATAAGGAAAAACTTCGAAAAAATTTTAACACAATTGTGTTAGACACACACTCATGTCTGACAACTTACTCCCAAGGCCAACCAACAAAGGAGTCAAGTACTATTATACTAGACTTACTCAACTATGGTACATGGTGGACCTTATTCAGTTCTATTACATCCTTCCCCCCTACCCCCCAGTTCACATAAATGAACGCACGCATGCAAGGAGACTCACAAATAAGACAATCATGCGCATGCACATCTTGACATCTGTACAAAGTCATGGACAAGGCAAAGTAGATATTAAGTTACAAATGATCACACAGAAGTTGCTTGCTATAAAAATTGTTTCAAAATAATTATGGCAAATTGTGCTGCTTGCTTGTAGGATTTTACCCAGAAACACACCACTTCACTACATTTTTCCAATGACAATCTCATCCTTATTTGTAAATTATGTTGGACAATATATTACATCAGCATGCATATACACATCTTTGTTTTTATTGGAGTACAAGGATTTGAACCCACTCTTTGCACAAGAAAATACATCCACATACCATTGAGTTAAATATTGAAGTGCATGTTTTGAAATGGAGTATTGAGATTTTCCTTTTTTATTTCTCTCTGATTTTCTCCCCCAATTCCATTTGTTAGTCCCTTATTTCTTATATCTATCCCTATTTTTCTCTTTGATTCCAATTCCCTATATCCTTTCCCCTCTTTATTCAACATAATGACTTTTTTATAAATGTGGTCCTGAAGCATACCTATAAGCAACAGATATGCAATTTACCTCAAAAACAAATATTAACTTTTGGTGATTAAAATTTGACAACATTCACCAGTAAATTTCAAATGCCAAGCATAAAACACAGTTTTAAAATTTGGATGGTATTACTACTAAAGTAAAATGCATACAAACTAAAGTATTTCAACATGAACAAAAATACCTGTCATATTCGATATTTTCTGTGGGAGATACAGTTAAATTATTTGCACTTTCCAAAGCCAGCAGGTAAGCTATGCCAACCTGTCAAAGATAAATTAACTACATGGTATGCAGAAAAGAGGAAATTCACTAAGAAAAAAAGCATGCCTCAGATTGGCCTTAAAATTTTAGAAATAACTATGAAACAAGACAATTACTGATAAAAGTTACATATATTGGCCTGAAACTATAATTACAATTTAATTTAATCCCTTAGTTTTCAAGAAAAATGCATACTTAAGTATATGAATGGCGCAGATCAATTCCTAAGAAACATGCAATGATACACTTCCTCTGCCTATGTTTTCTTTGCAGACATCCCAAAATGAAAATTACCAACAATTAAGGTACTAGATTTATTGATTTTTACTTTGATTATTAAAGATAAACAAACTCAAGCACTAAACACCATAGTTTTAATGATATGTAATGAATTTCATGGTTAAAATTAAAATATTAAAAATGCAATATATCTCTTCCTAAAACTTCCCACCAAGTTAAGCAAGACATGGAGAATGGTACCTCTCTTGCCTGATTAAAAAATTTCCAGTAGCCTCAGATTTCACCAAAACAGATATACTCTTTTCAAAAGAAGGCTTGAGGATATATAGCCTATTTTCTAATGAAAAGTTAGTTCTCATCCTCCCAAGGTTGAGAAGGTACAGCTTCAATCAGTTTCCTCCTTATGAAAACATACTAAGCCTATCTTTCTCTGCCAATATTTGGACCTCTTCTGTTTCATCTTCATTAATCTTTTGAAAGCCAGAGGCATCTATCAGCACATAAAAATTTCTCTAAAATTAATATATTGTGAAATTCAATCGCAACCTCTATCTACTCCTATTTTGAGAACAGTACATATTGTCATTTCTGGGTGAGTCATCTGCTTCCTCTTCTTCCTTTTTTTTTGAGTTTTCTCATCTTGTTAACTTTTAATACGTTATATGCAAATGGAAGAATTTTTGCAGAACTAAGGCTCCTCCTTGATAGAACACTCATACCTTAAGGAATGGTTTCAGGATTGTCTTTTTCCTTTTGTTCTCTCTTACTTGATAGTGGTCTTTATCAAGTTATGCCTAATTTCTTTGCATAAACCAAAGCCATTTTGAATTTATTTATTTTGGAGTTAATCAGTGGGTATTCTGGGTAGGAAGGGAATATAATGAGAGAAAAATAGGATCTCTTTATAAGTGATCTCCAAATATCAACCTATTAATTCTTCTCAAAAATTCAGACTTTGAATTTCTGCCACTCTTGAAAAATTTCAAGCCATGTTTTCCCCGTTTATGCAGTCCCCCAAGAATTCTTATAACCTATTTTTTAATGCCATCTAATACTTCATCTTCTCCTAACTTTGCTGCTAAGTTGTAGCAATCTGAATAAAATCATGTTCTACTTAAACTGCCATTGTATAAAATAAGCTGACTTAGTTTACCAATTTAATTTGGACTTCATAAACATCAATTTCACATTCTAAATGAAGAAGGCAAGAAAAAGGATGGGCTGGTGGGTGCTGCCAGAAGAGAGTAGGAGTGCTGCTTATTCAACCTAACAAGTAAGGAACCTATGGGGTTCCATCTGATGCTTCAAACTAATGAAGTTCTATAAAATATTGGTTAGTTTTGAGCTTTAACTCTATGTGGATCAACAAGGATTAATCATGTCCAGGACAAATAAGAAACAGGATTAATTATACATGCCATATATATGGTGAGTAAGCATATTTGTCTAGTTTCTAATGCCTCAAACCATGCTAGTATTGGAATTTTATTGAGCTTATGTCTGTTAATCGGACCGGGAGGGCAACTTTTAGCTTCCAATTATTTGTGTTCCCTATGTCTACGATGAGATGAACTTAGTTTTGGTGATTATTCACTAGTATTTCCAGGAAACATAATTTCTATTGTTTCCTATACTAGAAAACTGTTCCAACACTGGTCTATGCATTTGCAAATAATGTACAGAAAAGCAGATTATCTGAAATTTTATCTCTAGAATGGATTTTCTTGGAGCAGTGAGCTGCTTTATCTCAAAGGTGTGAGTGCATGAGCTTTTCTTTCCTTTACAACATAGTGTCACCTTAGCTGTCTATATGCTGTAATGAAGGTGTCTATATGCTGTAACAAAGGCGAGCAAAAACATAAACATACAGCAGCTGAAGAGCTAAGGCCTGAACTGTCCAGACCGTCAGATCCACAGATGTAGCCAATGATTCCCTGCAAATATGAGTGGAATTTATTGAAAAACCTACATATTTTCAAAAATGATTAAATGTGAAAAAAAACTAAGAAAAAGCATTGGCTTTCACAGTTTGTAAAACGTCAGTTTCCTACTCAGCATTTTGACAGACATAGCCATCATATTAGGAATCTGAAGATGATGGTTGATAACCCAATACAAATAAAAACCATTTTTCCTCAATGCCACAATGCATAAACTTGAAAAGGATGCTCAGTTCCTAAAGAAAGACATGAGAAAAGAACCTTGGATGTGATTATCTTTCATTAATAGATTTTGCATATTTTTCTGGACTGTAAACAGATTCCCTCTCATTATGATCTTCATTACAGGGTTTAGAATGTACTACAGCTTACCGTAGACTGATGATTTTATTTTCTTTCTCCGTGGTCATAATAATTTAGATAGTTTTTGACTTGCATGAAAATACAGGGAAATAACACTTACCTGAGCAAGACGGTTCCCTCTGCTCTGTAATGCATACAAGGCTCCTACAGCATACCTGCCCCAGTAACATTCTTCTGGTGGAGAAGATTTATCTACTTTAATCTCTTCACCCTTGCTAATGCTGTGCCTTGGCTGTTGGGTTTCATTAACTCTATAAAACCAGTGATGCCAAAGAATCAAGTTAAACATGGCATAGTTGTGTAATCATAATGCAAAAGATGTGACTCATCACAACGGATTAATCTTGTTTGAAGCAGAAAGAAGCAAGTCATATACACAGTATATGCAAATACTCTAGGAATAAGACGGTAGTACTATTGTATAGAGCACTCTATTTGAATTGTGTGATGTAATGATTCATCTTTAACAGCAGCCAGTGAATTTCCAATGTGCTTAGTAATTTCCTATTTATAATAGTTGAAGATCCCTAGCAATAACAGGCCTTTTAATGTAGAAGAGTATTAACCAAGAGGTAAGTGGAGGTTGAGTGGGGAAGGGTAGAAAGAAAGAAGAGCGTGAACTCAATGGTTTGTGATATATCACTTAAGCAACTCAATTTATAGATATTTGACATTGACACACAAGTTATATGTAACTGCAAACACAGTCCATGGTTCATTTGAAAAATCTAGAAAGATGGCTATCATGTTTCACAGGCAATCCTCACAAAAGAAGGGCTAGCAATGGATCTGCATTAACAAGCATATTTCTTCCTTTAACCAACAATGATTTAATGGCTGAGAGAGGAGAGGACAGTTTCCATTGACGATAGAAGTAAAAGAAAATAAAAAATGCTGCAAATGAAATGAAAAATGTCAAAATCCTTATTAGACTTGGAAATATAAAAGACTAATTAGATAAAAAAATTAATAAAGGATATTATTGAAGAGCAATGCATAAGTGAAGGAGGATTATCATAATCCTCATACCTGAACCTAACTTCTCCTTTAAACTGAGCTGAACGTAATGCAACCTATACCAAGCATTCCAAAGTCCATTCAGCAGAAGATGAAATGAAATGAAAAAAATAACAATAGCAGATTAGGAAAATGATTACTCTCATTCTGTTAAAATTTTTTATTGTGGTTGCTTTTTCTTTTGTACCCTCAAGCAGTAAGAAAAAAGTCAAAGGGCTTCATGTGCGTGCGTGTGTGTGTGTGTGAGAGAGAGAGAGAGAGAGTATTATAATGATATCCAAGAACAACTCATTTTGCGATGTACATAGTAATGGTATTCATGTCAGGGATTAGAAATTCAACAATAGCCTTTTTCGCATGGCCACTCTTGAAGTTTGAATTCCCACCGATGCAAGAGTGTCTAGGATTGTATTTTATTTAATTTAGTTTTTGCTAATTTTAGTTGGTTTAAGAATTACAAGTATAATAGAATTCTTCTTTTACTTGTATTAGGAAGTTAAGCTAGTCATGTTCTATTTAGGAATAGAACACTTATTTTATTTAAATCTCTTGTTAACTATTCTAATTGTATTAGACAGCTAGAAGTAGAGTTTTATTAGGATGTGGGCCTATAGTACTATAAATAGGACCCTTAGGCTTAGTTATTATACACATTCAAGTTGAGAGTTAATAAATAATATTTTCTTAAGCAGGAGTGGTTATTTCTCGACTCCCTTTAAAGGGTAAGAGGCTTTAGTATCTTTGGCCTAGCCAACCAAAGTAGGATTTAGGCTATTATTCACCTTAGTGGGGTTTTTTAACCTTGTCAAGATTGGTGGTTCACCTTAGTGGGCTTTCTAACCTCGCCACGATTGGTGTCTTTCACAACGCCTCGGCATCACCCACCCTTAGATTGATCAGTCAAATTCATTACCTTTGCACTATACAATAGCCTTTAACTTCTCATTTTATGATACAATAGAAATGGTTCAGCTAACCTAGGTAGTTACCACTCTTTCATAGGACAATCTCTTGTTTGCTTATCAAGAGAAGAGAAAAAAAAAATAGAGAGAGGGAGAGAGAGAGAACATCTTGCTAATATCATTTGAAGTAGACACCAGGCAGCAGTCTGTCTGGCTACAACATGCATGAAAAAGCCTGCTGCCTGACACATGATGATATACTAGGTATCAAGCCCATTACACAAGCCAAATGGCATTTTAAAACTGTTGAAGGAAAAAACTCAGGTGAAAGCTCATGTCCAAAACAACCTCATAGTTTTAAATTTCTTTCACGAAATGCGGGGATAGGCCAATAAAGCTCCTTCAGAAGAGAAAGATACTTGGCAAAAGCTCAGTAAATCTGCGTTTTTGAGCAACACTTACAACTGCTTTGCAGAGTAACCTAGTTCACACTACCTCTCCTTGTAATAAATATACAATGGGAAATCTTATAAGATCTTCAAACCTCAAGGTAGGTCCAAGCAATTGAAATTCAAATTATAAAGATAGACAGTCTGGAACATACATTTTATGATTATATTAATAGACAACCTCAAGGAATCAAAATGTTCACAGGGCAACTAGATGGCGTTCAAAAATTGAGTTCACTGTCTTCTATAAACTTATTCAATGAAGAGAAAAAACAACTAGCAACAAACATGCTTGTGCAATGTTTCATCTATGCAAATTTGATTTATTCCACCTACTTTATTTGCACACAATTTGTAAGAATTCTAAAAGATTGGTGCAAAGCAGGCAGGTAATAATCTGGAACAAAACAAGCAGATTCAGCCTCGGCATGACCGATGAACAACAGCACAAACTTATATTAATTTTATTGTCTAAGATCAGGAAGTTTTGTAAAAAATGTTAAGATTCGAGCATAAACGGCCACAAAGCTTCCAGAAATCTACTCACCGTTCTGCAAAACCTACAAAATAAAAACTCTATCTTAACCTCACCTGAGTGTTGCCAGAAGGTACAAATCCCAGCAGTATTCCCCTATTAATTGTCATTGCAGAAACAATTCCACCCTGTGAGCATTAGAAAACAGAAAGTGGTAAGCAATAAACAAATAACAAATTTACATCACTGACATCATACGTAACACAGGGCAAACACAGCTGCAATGTACTAACCTGATGATCAATATGAGCTCCCAATGGACAAATCCGATAAGGAGAAACAACAACTCGAACATCCTCTGCACCTTTCCCAGCCATTTCAGACACTATCCTTCTAATTTTATCTAACTGCAATCCAGTGGCATCCGCAATTATTATGAGCACAGTAGCCAACACAAAGTGGGCAAATGTAAGAAAGAAACCCAAGATTTACTAAAATAAAAAGTGCAGAGGCAATGGCAATCATCCAACCCCCAACATCAGATTATTAAATCATTCTTAAATTAGTTTTATCAGAAATAAAGAGCCAAATCTATCCCCTTATTTTTGGCTTTGAAAAGAAATAATATCAACTGGAAGATATTGATTAAACAATGCCACAGACACCGCTGTAAAAACAGAAATGACGCCGTATCGATGTAAATAGTCACAAAGTAAAAACTAAAAACCCAGATAGATGCAGAAATATTAGCCAATTCAACCAAATTAAAAGAGAGAAAAGAGAACTGTTGTTAAAAATAGTAAGGCAATGGCAATGGCAATGGCAATGGCTATGGATGAAGAAAGATCACTACCTCATCCTGAGTAGGCCAAGACATTGCACCTATCTCCCAATATGTCCTGAGCTGTAGCCAATTTGAGGGTTGTGTTTATAAACGGAAAGAGCAGTAAAGTGAAAGAGACACGGACGGAAGGAGGGTGCGGTTGGTGAACCGGAAAATCGGTTCAAACGTCAAATGAGGTAAGTGCCTTCGTCACAATCATACAATAGTTGTTTAGTTGAGTTTCTTTGTTTTTTTTTTTCTTTTTTTTCCAGAATTTTGAATTTGATTTTTTATTATCTGAATGGCCGTGTTTATTTAGATTTGCATTTTTATTAAAAATCAAATTTATCAATTTATAAATCTAAAAATTTAAGAGATAAATATCAATGCATAAATCTAAAAAAAAATTATCAATTTTAATATTTCGATGAACTTGAGAAATCATCTTGCCCCCTTTCTTGCATTTTTTTCATTTTTCTGTATTTTTTATTTTCAGTATTTTTATTATTTTTTGTATTTTTTTCATTTTCCTGCACGCTTAATTTCTTTGTATTTTTATTTCTGTTATTTCTATTTTGTGTATTTTTTTAATTATAAATCAATTTTAAAAAAACCTTAATTCCAAAATTTGCAAAATGTCTCAAAGAATGTAAAGTTGAAATTCTTCTTCTTGGAAAATTTAAGTAAATGTATAATGATAACAATAAAAAATTTAAAATAAATATATTTATGTGTAAATATATTTTTTTAACATATTATAATCAAATTCATATTCTATTAAATTAACAAACAAGAATTATTAAGTGATAAATTAAAAATGTTAATGTTAAGCAATTAATATTTTTAAAATTTTAGTATAAGGGTATGACAATAAGGATAACAATAAATATATTTGAAATTTGACTTTTTATATACTTCACTTAAATGTATAAGAATAAAAATAAAAGGTAATAGCATAATAATTCAAATAAAAAAACTATTAATTTTTTAAAAAGATGTTCAAAAAATTTGTATGCCCACAAATTAGTTAATACGAATTTCTAACATAATAATAAAAAAATATAATTTATAAGAACAACTATGAGATAAAATATTTAGAAAGAGTAAAAAGATCTTATTCAAATATATATTTACAAATGAAGTAAGGGCTAATTTATAAGATAATAATCCCTTAAATTCTAGTCTTAATCCAATTTAATTTATATCTAAATTTAGATATACATAATCAAATCTAAGACTTCAAATCAACTTATACTTCTTATATCCTCCCTGTTGAACTGTTTGACTTGAACTAAACTTCTTAAGTCATAATATAATGGATATTTATACATATATTCATAAAACTCTCATTTTAATGTCCATTATATTAAGAATATACCTTGTTAACAACTTACTAAGAAAAAATATAGTGAAAAAATGTTTGAATGAAAGAAAATATACACAACTATTTTCAAAAATACACTTTTGAAATATTACCTTATTAAAAACTTTATCAAGAAAAATCGAGTGAGAAAAACCATAATGAAAAAAAAGAGTACAATACGTATTTTATTCTCTCTAATGATCGTATTATTTGAGATCCTTAAAACGATGAATTCTAATTTTTCATATCAACTTTTTAAACAATACAATAGGAAGAGCTTTGATGAATAAATCTATTAGATTGTCACTTAGATAAATTTGTTAAACACTAATATTACCTTTTTTTCTTAAAGATTGTAAATGAAGAACTTTAGCAAAATATGTTTTGTCCTATCGCCTTTAAAACCTAATTCCTTCACTTGGGCTATGCAAATGTTATTATCTACATGTAATGTTGTTGGAATTTTCTTTTTGATTAACAAGCCATATGTTTTTTGAATATGTTAAATTACAAATCTTAATCGAGCACATTTATAACTTACCTCATGATTGTTAAAATTTCTACATGATTGGAATAAATAGCAACTATAATTTATTTTCTAAAACACTATGAAATAGTTGTACCTCTTTATCTGAATAAGTAATCTATTTAAGATTAAGCTTTATGTGGATCAAATAAATATTCTACGTATACATAACCAATGCATTTGAATAATATAAGCCCATGTCTATTGTTCTTCAGAGATATCAAAGTATGTTAATTCTATTCTAATTTCTTTGAGTTTGAGAAAAACTATATCTTATTAATAAAATTATAACAAATGATATATTAGGTCATGTATTGCAAACAAGATATATCAGTGCTCCAATTATATTAAGATATAGTACTTCAGACCAAGAAGTTTTTTATCATTCTCACGAGGTCAAAAATGATACTTTGTCACATTTAATAACCTTAATACCATTGGTGAACTCAATGGATATGCTTTGTCTATATAGAATTGTTTTAGCACGTTTGTTATATAATTTGATTGATGGACGAAAATTTGTCAAGTACTCAATCTAAAGACTCAAACAAAATTTTTTTTTTCAAAGATCTTTCATCTTAAATTCTTTCTTTATGTAATTCATGGCTTTTGCTAACTTTTTAAGAGTTTTAATAATGTTTATGTCATCAACATAAATAGCAATTATGACAAATTCATATCCAAATCTTTTTACAAAAACATATAAGCATATGGGATCATTTTTATAGTCTTCTTTTAACAAATATTCATTGAGATGATTATACCATATGCATCTAGATTGCTTTAATTTATATACATATTTGTTTAATTTGATTGAATAAATTTCTTGAGAATTGTGTACATATAATGTTATTGAAATTTCTTTCTTGATTGACAAGCCACACGTTTCTGAAATATGTTGAATTACATATCTTAACAAGACATATTCAGACATACTCACAACTTGCCTCATGAATTGTTAAAATTTCTATATGATTAAAAAAAATTAACAACAATAGTTTGTTTTGCAAAACATTATGAAATAGTTGTATCTTCATATGTGAATAAGTAATCTATCTAGAATTGAGCTTTATGTAGATCAAATAAATATTCTACATATGCATAACAATGTATTTAAATACTATAAGCACATATCCATTTTTATTTAGAGATATTGAAATATATGTTAATTCCATTCCAATTTATTTAAGTCAGAAGAAAACTATATCTTACTAATAAATTTATAGCAAATGGTATATTAGGTCGTGTATCGCTAGCAATATATATTAGTACTCCAATTGCACTAAGATATGGTACTTTAGGATTAAGAAGTTCTTCATTATCCTCAAAAGGTTGGAAATGGTACTTTTCATATCTAATGATCTTATAATCATTGGTGAACTCAATGGATATGCTTTATCTATATAAAATTATTTTAACATTTTTGTTATATAATTTGATTGATAGACAAAATTCAATTTGTCAAATGCTTAATATGAAGACCTAAAAAGAAACTTTGTTTTTCAAAAGTTTTTTATCTCAGATTCTTTTTTTATGTAATTCACGACTTTTAATAACTCTTCAAGAGTTCCAATAATGTTTATATCATTAACATAAAAAACAAGTATGACAAATTCATATCCAAATCTTTTTATAAAAACACATGAGCATATAGGATCATTTTTATAGTCTTTAACAAATATTCATTAAGGTGATTATACTACATGTGTCCAAATTGCTTTAATCCATATATATATATATTTATTTAACTTGATTGAATAAATTTCTAAAGAATTGTGTAAATATAATGTTGTTGGAATTTCCTTCTTGATTGACAAGCCACATATTTCTCAAATATGTTGAATTACAAAACTTGCTTCATGAATTGTTGAAATTTCTACATGATTAGAAGAACGCAACAACTATGTTTTGTTTTATAAAACACTATGAAATAGTTGTATCTCCATATGTGAATAAGTAATCTGTCTAGGATCAAGTTGTATGTAGATCAAATAAATATTTTACGTATGCATAACCAAAGCATTTGAATAACATAAGCCCATTTCCATTATTCTTCAAAGATATTGAAGTACATGTTAATTCCTTCCAATTGCTTTGAGTTAGAGAAAAATTATATCTTATTAATAAATTTATAACAAATGATATATCAAGTCGTATATTGCTAACAAGATACATTAGTGTGCTAATTATACTAAGATATGGTACTTTAGGATTAAGAAGTTCTTTATCATTCTTATGAGGTCGAAAATGTACTTTCTCACAACTAATGACCTTACAACTATTGGTAAACTCAATGAATGTTCTTTGTCTATATAGAATTGTTTTAACGCTTTTGTTATATAATTTGATTGATAGATAAAAATATAATTTGTCAAGTGCTCAATCTGAAGACCCAAATAAAATTTTGGTTTGCAAAAGTCTTTCATCTCAAATGCTTTTTTTATGTAATTCACAACTTTTGATAAATCTTCAAGAGTTCAAATAATATTTATGTCACCAACATAAACAACAATTATAACAAATTCATATCCAAATCTTTTTATAAAAACACATAAGCATATTATAAAATCATTTTATTATAATCTTTTTTTAACAAATATTCACTAAGACAATTATATCACATACATCCAGATTACTTTAATCCATATACATATTTATTTAATTTGATTGAATAAATTTCTCGAGAATTATGTACGTGCTTCAAGCAACCTAAATCTATGAAAAATTTTCATATTAGATATCTACATCAAGTGAGCCATATCAATAAGTTGTAGCTACATTTATTAAACGCATTTAAATATTCTCATGTATTACCAGCGTAATTAAATATAGAAATGTAATTACATCTACCACAAGAGAATATGTCTTGTCATGACCAATATTAGGTTTTTGGGTAAAACCTTGTGTGATAAATTATGTTTTATATAATGTCATTTTTCTCATTTCGTTTTCTCACAAATACCTATTTAAATCTCACTGATTTTACATCATTTGTTATATGGACTAAAGGTTTAAAAACTTCACGTTTTGCAAGTTAATTCAATCCCGCCTTCATTATGTCTTTCCATATTGGCCAATCATTTCTATGTTATTATTTAATAGATGTATGTTCAAGATCTTTATTTTTTTTTATAATATTGAGCATTACATTACATGCAAAAATATCGCCAACTTTTATTTCATTTTGATTCAATATTTTCCCCATCAAGATATAATTTATTAAGATGTTTTATTTTCAATAATTTCAAGTACTTGAATTTTTTCTGAAATTTTATCAATTATATTAGAGGTTTCTTCTAATGTTTTTATTTTTTCTTTTTGATCATTGTATATTTGCTTTTTTTT